GATTAAACAACAATCTACAAATTCATAAATTTGTCAAGAACCATATAATTATGCAAGAAAATAAAGGCAGAGTCAAGGTGGGCGTGAAAAAGAAAAGGAAAATTTGGAAGTTGCCTTCAACATCACAATATTATGATGGGAAGGACCTTGGTGTTCTGCTTCCTTGCCATCCAAGGAACACAAACGTGCAACAACCAATTCTAAATCATTTACCCATCACTACCAAAAGCAAATATTTCAATTTTTCAAGGAGGCAGGAGTTTCATTTTAAAGTACATATACTCTGGTTAATTAATTATGAAAAATCTCATTAATAGGTTGAAAATATATATAATTTCCATTTAGGGATAGAACAGCTTTGACTCCTTTGAGTATGTCTATGAGAGTTGGCCTTAACACTTGCTCATGCCTCGACTTCGACTCCCCTCCCACACTCATGAATAACCAAGAAATTACTGAACCCTTAAAAAAAAGAAGAAGAAGAAGAAGAAAAGAGAGAGAGAGAGAGAGAGAGAGAGAGAGACTTCATTTAGAAGGATAAATTAATTGGTTTGGCCATAAAAATTTCAAGCGTGCAGTTTTCACGTGTTTGATGATGGAAGTTCAAAACCTAATCACTTGTTCCAATCAAATAATCTAATCAATAAACAACATCCAAACACCTCCCATAAAATAAAAGGCAAATGACCAAAGCAAGCAGGAGCAAGAGTTGACACTTTCTAATGCCCCATTTATTAATATTTTTAGTAAATTATGAGAATAAATATAAAGCATTCAATAAGTTCTTAAGTCAACTGGTTCTAGACTTAGAGACTGAAACAATATATAATTCTAAGGTGGTTGGATTTAATTTACACTTGCAAATAATAAATTTTTTTTTAAAATTTTCCTAAATCATGTAATTAATTTTAGTTGTTGTAATATGTAACATATGCATTTGTAATAGTTTGTTTCTCTATATCAAAAAACAAAAAAGAATAGATGTAAAGCAAAGTGCTAGAAAAGTCTAAGAAAGTGGGTGCTATATGTTCGATATAAAAATGCCAGAGAAAGAAACCATGGATTGATTCCTCTCATCTTGTACTGGTTAATGGGTTTTTTGAACAAAAAAATTTAAAAGGAAAATTGTTCAGTGCGGCCTCAAGCTTTCCAAGCGTGGGATGTTTTGTTGGAGAATCCACAAACCAAAGGGCTCCATGGCTTCATGTCCGTCGCTTCCCCACCACAACAGCTCAATTTTACCCTTTCATTTCCCTGGGCAAACAAAAAGAAAATTTTTTAAAAGGAAAAGGGGGTAAACAAGATTTAGTGGCAGAAAACATGGAATTTTGTTTAAGAAGGAACCGTGGAGGATTTTTTTTTGTGCACATCTGACCTTTTGTTTCCACCACTTTCGGCTTTGCAAGAGCCTTTTTGTGTGTGTGTGTGGAGAAAATGGGAATTTTCTTAAGCCTGAAAATGTTAAAACAGAAATGGAATGGAAAAGGATAATATCGATGCCACATTTTGAGAATATGGAGGGACCAGCATGAATAGGAAGTGAAATCAGAATTATTGTGTTTGTGCGTTACACAGAATCATCCAATTTTTATTGGCACAAGAAAGGGAAAAAACACGAGACTTTCGGTTAAGTGGTCATTCCATACAACCACCATTCCTAGGCACATTGGGTCCTATAATATTACTATGTTAGTGTTTATTTATTTCTACGAAAATATATTTTTTACTTTGAACGGTATAAAATATAATAAGAATGTATTTGTGATTTAATAGTAACCTTGCCTTTATAAAGTAATTAATGATATTATGATTTAAAAATGTGAAATTTAAATCCTACCCCAACATTAAAAAAATATATATTTATAAAAAAAAATGCACTATAAGTTATAAATTACAACAGTAATATTATTGAATATTTTTTTAGATATTTTATTAAAAATATTTTGATACTTTCACTTTATAAATTACACTTTTTTGTACTGTCTTAATCGAAGAATTGACAACGCATTTCTTTGTACATCCAAATATCTAATCCAAAGAAAATTAGTGAACGTAAAAATGTACCACAAGTTGTAGAGTTTGTGATGCCAATGATAAGCTAAAATTTAATGAAAAAATAATATAATATTATGTGATATTATAATTATATAATATGTTATATTATTATATAATTAATTTTTATTTAAAAATTTATATATAATATTATATACATCTATTTATTTAATATTATGTCATATTTCATTTAAGGTCATATAAAATTATAAATTTACAATCTTATATAATATTGTAATTATAATATTACTAAAAACTTAATTTTTTTTAAAGGTTGTTTTACCAATTGTGAGCCAATGTTATCAATGATTTTTATAGAATAAATATTATTAATGAACCATTCTCAATAAAACATAGGAGCCACCAATTTTCTAATTTTTCCATATCAAACTTTTATAAAAATGAAATTATCACTAAATTATTAATTCATTGCTAAAATTTAATTTAAAATTTCTTGTGCAAATTGGCTCCATCAAGGTACCATTTGATTAGAGGAAAAAAAATAAATGTACTAAAGATGGTATGTATATGATGATGATTATGTAGGAATATGAGAAATCCAAAAGAGGGGAACGGATGAGCACATAAGACGTGCGGAAGAATCCTTTTTTGCTTTACATCTCATCAGATTGGAAATGGGAGAATAGTTTTAGTGCCACCAAAAGGGTAGACCCAATGGGATTGGGAGAGGGAGGGGACTTTGATTGGGGGCGTGGCCTATTGTTCCCTCCATTCCAAACAAGAGGGCATGAAAGTTATCCTTTCTTTAATCAAATACACAATTACTACTCCATAAATTATGAATTAATTAATTAAACCATGAGGATGAGGGGAACTGATGCATGATCTTCTTGGCCTCTGCCCAAAGATCTCTTTCAGCTGATAAAATCATGGGTCTTCCTCTTTTGCTTTATTTTATTCTTTTGGGTGGAACAAGAACCATCCACCACCCACCATGCCCTGATGACCAATTCACATAACAGCTTATGCTCAATTTTTTTTAATGCTCTCTTTAAATTAGTTTATTGTTGTTCATGTTTTAGATTCTATTTGGTCTGGGTACTTTAGGACATCAGGGTATATGTCAACGTTCATTTCATTGGATTTATTTATTTTTTTTTTGAATTTTTTGTTTTTGTGTTTCATTTTGTACCCAATAATTATGGTTTATGTCCATTGAATTAAAATTTAAGACTAATATAGAGTCTCAAACTTTTGTTTTTAAATTTTTTAGGTTGGAGTATCAAACTTTTTTCAAGTAAAACAGTTGTTGAAGTCATAATTAAAATTATTGTTGGACCAACAACCTAAATGATTGGTTTAGTGGTAATTTTATTTTAATAAAAATAAAAAATTTTGATTTTAAATGTAAATATACTTGTGAAATAAGTTAATGGATGAAAAAGTTGTTTTTTGTTATAAACTTAAATATTTTTTTATAGAAAAACATTGTTGGACTATTAGCATATTAAATTTTTGTCCATCTACAAATTTTTTAGCTATTCTATCACTATCTTTTATATTTTTATTTAATTGATTGGAACATTTACTAATTTATTAGAGTCTTGATGATGGAATAAGACTATGAATCTACATTTATAAAATAAACTAAACGTACTAATTTATTGATTTT